GTGGCTCCCGCCTTAGCTCCACGTACATGCGACCTACAACATGTCATTCGTCTCAGGAATGGGCGGCGTCTCCTTTGCAAAATGGGGCACTCGCCTCAGCGCCGCACACTTTCGCCCCACCGCCTTGCAGCAGATTCAATGATTGAGATTACAAATCATGTTCAATATATTCCTCTCGGTTTAGCGCCGCGCACGTTCGCTTTCACACAGCCATGAAGATGACGGAAGGCTGCCTCTTCTCAGCACGGTGTTATCGCTCAAGACCTCGTGAAGATGATGACCTGGAGCTCCAATGCATGCAGCACTGCACTGGCACATAACGATTCTTCTGCAACCATGAGCTCTCGATGGGGACATCGTCGGAATGTGTGGCCACACGCGCAAGCTTGTGTTACACAACTGCACTAGGAGGCACCCCTTCTTCGAACGGAGGTCCCGCTGGAAACATTTGTATGATCACAATGTTTCGCGTTCCTGACTACAATCATCGGCCTGACCTAAGGAACGATACATAAGGAACGAAGCCGCTTTTTATCCCCCAAGGAATAACGCATAAGGAACGAGAAATAACAAATAACGCATAAGGAACTGTAAATAACGAATGCAAGCCTAAGGAACGACCGAGCCCCTTTTGAAAAGTAAGTGTTCCTTATTCAAGCCGCTCACTCTACGTGTCTGAGAAATGAAAAAGCAATCCCTTTTCAAAGCGGAGCCCCGTCCGAAACGGCAGGCCAGACTGCGCTGATCTTTCAAGAGGAGCACTTCCCGCAGTGAAACGGAGAACGCGCAGGGACGCAGGAGGGGTGTCGAGATGGGAGGGTGGACGGCCGGACCGGGGACAGAGCAGCATCCTTCGAGACCGTGGGACCTCCCGCTGCCCAAACTGAAGAAGACTCGGGGGCACCCTCCCCCACGATGCACAAGAACATCAGACAAGCACGAACCACATTGGGAAGCCTCCCCAAACCCGACCTCGCTCTCATACCTCGGCCCGGCCCGACCGCACTGCAGTCGGGCCCCTGAGAGAAGGGACGCTGAAGAAGGAACGACGCCCCTTGTTGGCCCTAAAAGCGCCTCCGTGCCCGAGGAGGGCGAGAGGGACAGCACTGGAGGAACCTGGGGAACATCGAGCCCCTTCCGAACCCAAAGAGTTCCTTATTTCAGCGTCTTGACTGTAGTAGTGCAGCATCGCTGACGCGTCCTGGGCTTACTCTGATCATCGCCCTCCCGCTCGTCGTCATCCTGCTCCTGTTCCTTGCCGCCGCCGTGCTCCCCCCTCTCGTCCTCCTCCTCAGCGATCGACCCAAGCAATGCTTCTCGTGTTCGTTGTGTGTGTGCGCGCTTGCCCTCGCTTCGTCTTCAATCCACCTTTTTGCTGCAGAACGCATCGAAACGAGACCGGCCCACGAACTCGCCAAAGCATTGTTTGGGTCGACCCCTGCTCCTCCACTACCTCCTCACCGTCTTCGTTCTCGTCCTCGCCCCCAGGGGCAGCGTGTGTTTACAACTGCAGCTACAGGCCCCCTCCAGGGGAGGCTCCAGCTGCTGCGAGGGCACTGGTGGCAATCTGGCAGGGAGCCCAGGCGGCCGAAACCAGAGCGCCGCCTGACAGACCAGACAGCGGCGAACGGCTGGCTCTGCGAGAGACAACATCGAGAAGAGATCGGGCAATCAAGAGAGCCGACAGCGAGAGAGCTGGCGCCGTGACAGGGGGTGTGGAAAAAAAACAGCCTCCACTTCCACCACAAGAGGTCCCATAGCACGCTATGGCTGAGCCAGGGCAGCGGGAAATCAAATCCCGACGGCGAGGAGGAGGAGGAGGACCAATGTAAAACCAAGAGTCATCAACCATGATGGAAAAAAAAAACCTCCCTCCGAACTCCCTGTTCATAGGCCCCTGCAACGGGTCATTTCCACTGAGGGAACTGACTCGTAGGAAGATAACCGTTGGTAGACCCTGAAGCATGCCAAAACATCGTTCTCGGGATTCCAACGCCACGGATCAACCTGACTCTTGCGTATTAAAGATCCTGAACCTTGCCAAAACGCTATTCTTGGGACTTCAACATCGCGAACAAACGTAAGTGTTGTGCCCTCATAATCCGGAATCCGTCGGTAACTCCATTTCTGGTACGCTGGCCATGGGGATCCGTGAAACCCTTCCACTCTCATTATATAAGATCAGCCATCGTTGACTCCAAATAGATAGGAGGACAGGAGGAGGACGAGAGGAGGATGGGAGGAGGACGAATGAGGTCGGGCGCAAGACGGGAGGACGGGAGTGGCAAAATCAGGCAAGCAGAAGCAAGCAAGCGCAAGCGAGCAATAACAAGCAAGCAACAGCCAACGATCAAGTGCAAGCAATCAAGGGCAAGCAAAAGCAAGCAGGCGAGAGCAAGCAAGCAAGAGCAGGCATAGGCATAGGCGTAGGCATAGGAGTTAGGGGGAGGCATAGGCATAGGCATAGGCATAGCCACAAGATTTAGGGGGGGGGGCATAGGAATTAGGGGCGGGGCTACGGACCCATTAGTAGGGCTTGAGTTAGAACTCCTCTAGAGCAAGCCTATCTGGAGAAAACAGAATACAAGTGTGCGCGGCGCTGGGGCGAGAGCCACCTTCTGAAAACCACCCGCCCTCCATATCCGAAACTGTGGCCAAGATGAAGCTTCAGGGTCAGGAATGGTGAGGGAGTCTCAGGCGAAACGCCCGGCCCGCCCTACGAACCTGCCTCGGGGTGCGACAGGGAGAAGATATTCCAAGGCAGACAAATGGAGGACGGGGGGCGCCGGGAGGACGACGAGCCACGGCGAGCGAGGGGGGCGAGGAAGAGGATGCGCACAGAGAGGGGGGAGAGGGTTGTGCTGTTTTGCCAGTGGGTGTTCGACATGCTCGGCACATCGCTTGAACCCACTTTTGCATCACATTATACGCAACAACAGTGAGGATCATGCAGGAAGAGAGCGGAGTAGGAGCTGGTAGAGCGGTGAGACAATGACCAGGTAAGAAGAGGGGAGGTGGGAACAGAAGGAGGATGCCAGGAGGAACGGGATGCGGGAGGACGATCAGGAAGAGAAACACCAGCAAGAGAAGGCTGGGGAACACCAGAACGGAGGACGGAGTCAGAAGATGGTGAGGAGTAAAACCAGGATGATGACAAGAACCAAAGGCAGACGGCAAGGTGGGCAAATCATCCGCACGTGCACAACAGCTGGGGTATCCGACGGCCCGTCGGGGGCCAACAGGATGCGAGGACCAGACTGTCCAATGGCCTACGCCTCTTCCACTCCCCACGTTCTGGCTAATTCACTCTGCCGTCCCACTCCACGAGTGGAATGATTGAAGACCGCGCGAGAAGGGGAGCCCGGGAAAACGGCCGCCCCCACTCCCAGACTCGCGCTGCCTGAATATATTGGGGGGGGGGGCCCGGGACGCGTGCAAATACGTCAGGGTCGCGCTCCCGAGGCCGCAATCCCTTACACACATTACGTCACGCTCGCCCTCCCGATGCCACTATCCCCTTGTGAATCACGCGAGGCAGCGCTCCATCCACAGCACATGGCGCCATAATCGGGCTCGATTGGACATGGCACGCGAGAGGACACGAGGCCCTTCCGAAGGCCACACTGCCACAGGAATGCAGGAAGCATGGGCCGCGAGACACGGGACACGATGGCGCAATGCAGCAGTGCCGCGCCCCGGGAAGGGGCACGACCGTGCGACATGCACGGCAGGTCCGCACTCCCGAGGAGGCCACAGCCACCCGCGCAACGTAGGTCGGACCCCGCGGGCCCCGCACCACACTGCTGAACACATTGCTTTGGCGCCGCGCTCCCGAGGCCACAGCCCCTTTTCGTCCATCAGAGCAAGCCTGCGGCCCCGACGCCGCAGCCTCTGGTGAGTCACAACATGCACGCGCTCCACAGGACACGAGCCCACTCCATCGATCATGAGAGCAAGCTTGCGGCCCCGAAGCCGCAACCTCTGGTAAATCACTACATGTACGCGCTCCAAGGGACACTAGCCCGCCCCCTATCGAGGTCGCCTACAGGCGCCCCCCGCCCTCTCCAGTGGAGAAGCATTTAGATTTGCTGCCTCGGGGCCTGTGTTCGTTCTTTCGGCGCCCTCGTCGTTTCCTGTAATTTCGGCTCTGGGCTCGAGGCCACGAATCCTCGCATGTAGCTCTGGATGCGCGCTCCCGAAGCCTGCAATCCTCGTGACACGTATTGGTTGTGCGCTCCCGAGGCCACCGCTCCTCACTCATCATGACAGACGCGCGCAAGCAGCAGGCCAGCAGACAGCCCGAACCAGGTACCACGTCAGACAACTTTTTTGGTCTGCGGGTCGAGAGCGGGCCCCTTCCGGTCAAGAGCTAGGCGGGCCGCGCAAAGCACTAGTTGGGGAGACAGAGCACAGGCGGGCGGGGCGCACGTCAGACAGCAAGCCACTGAGCCGAGCTGCCAGCCAGCAAGCCGACAAGAGAGCCAGCCAACCGACCATGCCCAGCGTGGCCATGCGAGCATGACGACGGGGGGGGTGGCGGCAGAAGAGCGCAGCCCATCCTGACGGAAGTACGCGGAGCGTGAGTGGGTGGGCGACAGCCTCGGTGGAGGATGATCCAGACCCTCCTCCTTGTCTTCCTCGCCGTCCACCTCGTCCTCCCTCCCTCATCCTCATCCGTCGGCCTCCCCGCCTCGACGCTATCCTTGTCCTCGTCGTCGTCCTCCCTTGGACGCGGCAGGGAGTCTGCGCTGGATGGGCTCCGGGAAAATTGGACAAGAGGGCGATAGCAGATCCTCTCAACATCGGCCCCCTTCCCCCTCCCAGGGTCGAAACGCATCAATCTTCCGAACTGTGTCCAGCCGTGGGCACCAAAGCCTGCCCCGAAGACCAACTGCCGTTATCTCAACTAGGCCTCCTCTGATCGTCCTGGTCGTCCTCCTCCTCGTCGTCCGTATTCCTCCTGCCCGCCCTCCTCCCAGGACGTCGTCGCCGCCCCCCGCCTCGAAGGGATCCAGGCAGACGCCGCACGTGCTGGCGCGCAAGGCCTCTGGGTCCTTGTCGTCCGTGAGCGTCCAGGTCGTGCCGATGCCCGCTACCTTCGAGGGGCCGATCGTCGAGGATCGCGAGGGTTCGAGAAGGTTTTTTCCTCGTCCTTTTTCCAAAAAGCTGGGGGACCGTCAGAAACGGATGCGGGGTGTAGAACTGCACCAGACGGTCCCCGGGAGAGGCCGAGGATCGCGAGGAGCTGCAGGAACAACTCGTGACATATAAACACAACCTTTCGGAGGTCCGCGCTGATTTCTCTGCTCGTCGCTGGACCCCCCTGCCTGGCGCGCTTCCGGCGCCGCCCCTGGCGCGCTCCACGCGCCAGGGAGGGTGCATCAGCGCCGATCTAAGTAATCTGCGCGGGTCTCTGAGAATGTATTGAAGGGGGCCCAAGACACACAAATAAATACATTCAAATAAAAAGATTCCCCATATCTTCCTATAGTTTCTGGGTTTTTGTCTTCCCACCCACTTCCCATATTTTCCCATATTTTCTGGGGAATCGACGATTAATTGTGTCTGTGTTTTGTTTCCCCTCCTGATGTATGGCTATGGCATTCTACGTTCCGTTATGGGTGCACTTGTTCACTCATGTCCGCTCGATTCGAGGTAGGATTCTCACCCGTGTTGCGACATGAAATGTGTAATCCCTGGGACACCACATTGACATCGTGGCTACGACGATGGGCACGGGCGGGCACCGAATTCGAGATGCGCGCTTGTTGTGGGTGTGTCCAGACCGTACCAGCGATGCCCGTTACCTTCGAGGGGCCGATCGTCGGGGAGCGCGATGGAGCCATCGGCTCCATGGGGAGGTGAGGGGAACATCTTAGGAAGCACCCTCTGGGAAGTCTTTGCGAGAAGAAGAAATGATTATTACATAAGTCCGATTCAGGGGCCATTGAACCAGATAGGGCCAGATTAAATCCAGGACTAAATCAGAGCAGGCTGGAGTAAGCCAGATTTAGCGGGAGTATGCGGGACAAGGCTGGTTTTACCACGGATATGCCAGCGCCGATGGTGGATTCAACCTCCCAGGAGTTAGGTCTTCCGAGGGGCCGATCGTCGAGGATCACGAGGGAGCCGTCGATCCCACGGGAAAGTGAGGGGGCGGCATCGTGCCCAGAACTCCCTCGCGTCGCAATGAAGGTCACAGCGGGCATTTCTCGGCGACTCTCTGTCTCGCGGGGCCCTCGCAAGGCTCCAAGACCACATGGAAACGGCTCGGGATGAGAAACCGGTCTCGGGGAAAAGGAGGATGAGGAGGAGGATTTCCTGACCTCTTGGGGTCCCCGCTGGGAAAAAATGGGACGTCGGGGGTCTGGGTGGGGGCAGCAAGCGTGGTGGCCGGGGTGTGCCACGACCCCATGCTGGACCCTCCACCTACAACCGTCGAGGGGAACGGAAGGGGGGGAGAGCAAAGGGCAGGGCAGAGAATCAGCTCACGCAGCTGATTTTCCCAGCGCCGAGGCGCCCATGTATCGAGGAATGGGCCCGGCGGCGGGGCCGAAACCAGCTGCACGCAGCAGATTTCGTAGCCCCCCCTTTCCCTATCCCCCCCTTTCGTTCGGCCCGAACACGCCCTGCGCTGGGCGCGGGGTCCTCTCCCCTAGTCCAGCTCGGGGTGGGCAGGTATGACCAAGGCTGAACGCGGAAGCGTCGGAATCGATCGGTCATCGCCTGTCTTGGTCGTCGTCGATTCAAAGATCAGCCTCGCAGATCGGCGGCGGCCGGCATGGACCTCGACCACGCGCGGCGTCGACGGTACGTCTGCCGCGACATCTTGATACAGTGGGGGCGTTGACCTAAGGGACCCTAAATAAGGAACGAGGCCCTTTCTGCTCCACAAATTAAACTTCGATTTACCATTGAAAACCAAAGGAAAACCCATGGCAAACTGTAAAACGATCAAGGAGCACCGAGCCCCTCCCGAACGAACAGGGTTCCTTCTTCAGCGCCCAGACTGTAATGATTCTCGTGTTCCTTTTCTCCATCGATTGATCGTCGATCGTCGGGCGTCGAGGGTCGCGACCTTCGCTGATCAGTGGCCAGTGATGAATGGTCCAGGGCACTCTTTGAGCTGTCTGCCAGCCTCCAGGGGCCTCCCGGGGCCTGCAGAGGTCGTCGTCGTCGTCGTCGTCCTCCCTCTCCTCATCCTCGCCCAACTGAGTTTGAGTTGGGAGGAGTAGGGGGGAACGCAGGGGAGGAATGGCGAAGAGCAGGGAGGAAGAAGATGGGGAAGCGAAATGGATGGCAAATGGAGAGGGAGCGCGGCGAGATGGAGGGAACCTGCACCTCTCGCATCCTCCTGACCACTCCTCCTCCATCGTTGAGCTCTCAATCCAGCGCTCTCAAAAACCTGGATCGTCCTCCTCCTCCTCCTCTTCCTCCCCCTCCTCCTCCTCCTCCTCCTCCTCCTCCTCCTCCTCCTCCTCCTCCTCCTCCATCCGCCGCCCTGTGACCCGCGTCCCGCATCCTGCCGTGCCCCTCCCGCTCCCTGCACTCGCGCTCGTCCTCCTCGTTCGCCTCGTCGCGGGGCGGGGCGGGCGGAGGGGCAGGGCGAGGAGGGCCCTGGCCCTCCGCCCTCCGCCCACCCCCCCGATGAGGCTGCGCAACCGCCCCCTATCCTCAAAGGCGTGGCCTGGGCAGCACTGACCGATGCATTTCCCCCCTACTTGGGGATGTGGGCCGATTCCCTCGGGTGTCGAGGGCGTGCATCCTCAACTGGTGTGCCGAGATGCTGGGGGTCTGGATAGGGATGGGGCTGGGGATAAGGGGTCGGTTTGAGCAAGGGCCGACCGTCCCGGCATTCCTATAGGCTTACCACGACATGTTCCCAGAACTCAAAAATGCTCTCATCACAAACACAAGGTTCTTGTAATATAAAAACAGGCATGTTAAAACTGGACAGTCCCAGCCAGAACTGTTCTAAGAACATTTCGTGGACACCACAAAAGGTTACCATAACATCTTTTGGTAGGCCTATACGCGTATACGCACGCCAGGACGCTTCGCCACTGCTTGATCGGTTGAGAGCTACTGAGCCTCCACCCGCCATGGTCACCGACGTCGGCGCGGCGCGTGGGCTGACGTCGGCCTGGCCGCACTCCCGCCCGCCCTCGCCCCCCCAAGGGCGGGATCCCCCCGGGGAGGCCGCCCTGGCGGCGCGCACAAGGGGGTGTAGGGAGGAGGAGGAGGAGGAGGAGGAGGAGGAGGAGGAGGATGAAGAGGAGGAGGAGGAGGAAAAGGAGGAGGAGGAGGAGAGGAGGGGAGGAGGAGGAGGAGGAGGAGGGAGGAGGAGGAGGCGGAGGAGGAGGAGGGAGGAGGAGAGGAGGAGGAGGAGGGGAGGGAGGAGAGAGGGAGGGAGCAATCGGACGTAGTCCGTTCGGAACCCAGAGATGCCAGGGGGGCCATCCAGTATTTCTCGGAAGGCCGTCGGGGGCGACACCCCACGGCCCACCGCGACAGGCCCCCCTGGCCTCGCAATTTACTCGGAGGCAGCACCCGCCGCGTAGGAACCGATCGCGGCTTCGGCTGCCGAAGCGTGCAAAGCCTCTAGCACTGACTTGCTGGGGCCCGATCTGGACGGGTGGAGGCCTCGCCTGATCCTGCTGAGGTTCTCGAGGCATTTGCCCGTGGGCCCCAGGGCCCTGCGCTCTCCCACTTGGTGGGAGAGAGGGCACGGCAAAAGTAGGCTTTTAACCTGGTGCGTGGCCGTATGGCCGCACTTCACACAGAAGAACATTTGCCACTTGGGGATGGTGGCCAAAGTGTGGGAGGGGTGAATCGCCTTGCCACTGATCACGCGGGGACCCCTCGACCACAGCACCTCGCCACACGCAGCAAACTCGGGAAGGGGGCAAGGCGGCGCACACTCTGTGGCGGCAGCTGGAATAACGTGGCAAGCGTCAACGATGATGAGGCAGGCAGGGCATCTCCATTTGTCTGCACACCGCTCGAATTTGTGCTGAGAAGCCGCGACCGCGGTCTGCAACAGAGAGCGAGGGGCAGCCTCCTGGGTGGGTTGCCTCTCTGGCCACAGTCCTCGAGGCTCTGAATTCTTGCCTAAGGAACGTAAGATCAGTCGTGCCCTCTGACGGACGATGGCTGCAATAGCGTCGTATTCATCGGTCCTGGGGACAGGCGGGAGGGCAAGGGTGGCCGACTTGTGGGCCGCGCTTCCCGCGAGCTCGTCGGCATGCTGGTTGCCGAGAGCAAGAAATTTTTGGAAACCGTGCAAAGTCAGGGGATCGGCGTGAGATGGGGCCCAGATCACCGTGACCGAAGAGCCGCCGCCAGATCGATCCTGCACGAGGTGCCGAATTCTCAGCCAGAGATCCCCATTCTTATTCTTGCCTCTAAGGCTGCCAGGTCTGAGACATCTGCCATTCTGCCAGCCGCGCTGCAGGGCTAGGTGATCTGTAACAAATGTGAAATCCTGCTGGCACGTCTCCAGTGCCAGGCAAAACGCATGCAATTCGCCTCTTGGGACGGTCTGGCGGGGGCCTGGGAGGGGGGCGAGGAGGCCCGCGTGGAGGGCCCAGGGGGCAGGGAGGGTCCCATCGGAGGGCCGCGAGGCCAGAACCAACACGCCGTCGCCTGACGTCGTCGGAAAAGGCGCCGCCAGACCCGCCACCAAAAAAGAAACAACTCGCCCTCAGCGTTACGAGCTCCTTCCCACGACGGCAGACCCTCCCGCACCGCACCAGCAAACTCCCACCCGTCCCTCCCAGTCAATGGCTCGAGCGCGGGCGTAGTGCGAGCGACAGAGGGAATGCCACGGGGCCACGGGGCAGGGTCGGCATCGACCCCCGCCACGGCTCGCGGTAGTAACTTGTCACTGGCCTCAAACTCAGGTCCCACATTCGCCTCGCACTGCCACATTCGGCGAAACAAGGTTTCAGGAACTCCCGCGCTGCATCGGTTGCAGTTCTTGTCGATCTGGTAGCCCGCGTTGTGGAGGCGGTCTCTGGTCCATTGTCCTCCGCTGATGATGGTGTTGTTGAGGGCCCAGTCGCTGAAGTCACCGTTTGCGAGGAGCCTCCTTTGTTCAATGCGGATAGTGACCATGTCCGCGCCTCCAGCCAGCGTGTCACCATGGTCATGCGTAGCGGCCTGAGTCCAGAGGAGCCTGTGTAAATCCTCGCTGAGGTCCTGCAATACTGCGTGGATGTCGGCGTCGAGGAGGTCAGGGTCATCGGCAGGGGGGAGGTTCCACTCCTCGATGTAGCCGTCCTTCGTACGCCTCCACGTGGTAGCTGAGGTCGGCTCCCAACTGGCCTCCAGCAGGGTCGCGATGGCCGCGCCTGTGGGCCCCTTGACCCTGCGCCACAGCTTGGGGCCTGCGGCGAGCAAGGTGGTCTTGATCCTTGGCCATGCTCTGATGATCCTGGCGTGCGTGCTCGGGTGGCGTATCCAGTGCTGAAGCCAAGCCTCGATGAATTCGATCCTTAGGGAAACTCCTGGGTCCATGCCGTCGAAGGTGGCGCCGAGGAGGGAGGTGAGGCATCGGCCCGCTGCTGCTCCCGTGGCCGCAATGGCGGCCTGACGCCGCCATCGTAGTAGAGCGTGCCGAGCGAGGCCGTGCACCTGATGACCGAATACTCCTTCGGGGAGAGCGCCAGTACGCCACAGTCCTGCTGAGATTCGAGCCTGCTGTGCAGTGCTCCGTAGTCGGTGTATCTTGCGAAACCTAGCTGCGGCTGAGCTCTGTCGCTTCCTGGCTTTGGCTTGTGCCCGTCGAGTAGCCGCAGCCGCGTCAACTCCGAGGTCGACGGCCGTGGCGGTCGCAGTAACTGGGACGTCGTACTGCCGCAACTTCTTGGCTAGCGATTTGCGGACCTTGGGGGTGGAGCCGATGAGGACAGTCTTGTCTGAGATAGGCAGCTCGAACTCCTTTAAACCGTCGCAGAGCGTCTCGGCGGCGCGGGGGGAGGTGCTTCTGTGGCGTGCGTAGGACTCCTTCGACTCGAAGAACAGTGTCATCTACGAAGGTCCACATCTGGGCAAGCTCTGCCTGAGCTTGGGCTTGCCGTAGAATAGGAAGTAAAATGAGTCGTGCCAAGGTCGTGCCGTGAGGGGGCCTTCAATGATGCCTTTGGAAGCGAAGATAGGCATACTCACCCATTGTCGACTGCGCAAGAATCTGGGCGCCAGGTATAGCTGTACTTCCAGTAGTAGAATGATGGGGGGAAAGCCGCAGTTGAGGCCGACCATAATGAGGTTGGCGAGCTTGATATTGTCGTAGAACTTCTGGATGTCTAGAGCTTCTGACTGTGCTCCAAGTGCTGAGGCTGTCTCGTCTAACAAGGCCCTGTGTAGGGCGGCCTGGAGAGCTGAGGAGCCCTTGATGGTTGTAGTCCAAAAGTCGTCCAGACCTTGGGTCCAGGATGCAGATGCAGTCGATCTGATGCGAGACCAGAGTCTGGCCATATGAGGTAGCATGCCGAGGACCCTGTCGCCTCCAGACTTCTTGGCGGCGAGAGCTGCAATAGTGCCTGAGATTCGTAGTGGCCAGATGCCTGCTTGCTCTACTGCGTTGAGGATATCCGCATAGGCTCCGACTGCTGGTTCTGGTAGTCGATGGAGGTCGCGAGGTCCAAGGGCGTCAACTCCATGTGCTTTACTGGGTGGCACGCGGCCGTGATAGCGGTGCACGATCTCGGCTGTGATGGGCTCGAGCGGTTGGCGAGCGGCTGCTGCCTTGGCCTTTGACAGGGCCTGTAGGATGTCGTCGGGGGTCTCGGTGGCTTGCCATACTTGTTGCCATTGTTGCTTCTTGTTGTCCATGATGACGGCGGGGTCGGCGATGGTCAGGTTGGTCGTGTAGGCCTCGATGTGACGTACGGGCGCTGGCTTGACATGGGCGTGTAGTACTCCAGGGCGGTGTTTCCATTGCTTGGCGAGCCAAGCACCGTAGGCCCTCTTGGACTTGGCGAGGGCGGCGGAGAGCGCTCTGGAGGCCCAAGTAGCGGTAATAGTGACCAAGTCGTTGGTGTCCTCATTGTCCAAGTGCGGGGCCCACACGAGTGCAAACCAGCGGAAAATGATGTCCTCGTCCTTCTCGAACTGGAGGTCGTGAAAGTGAGTGTTGAAGTGGTCCGCGCGCTGCTGGATGATGGAGGCCTGCTGCTGCATGAGCGCTGTGTGCTTGGGCTTGTCGCGAAGCGCAGCGTAGCGCTTGATGAGGGTGAGCGTGATTGCCCACCATTCCGACTGAGGGTCATGTACGTGTACGCGGCCTGGGGCGGCGGCCGTCTTCTTCCAAGACAACTGGTAGCCTTGGGCTCGGCCTGTGTATGCTGCGGCTTCCTTCGGGTCGATCTGGTGGTGGCTGATCATGGTGTTCTCGAGCGCCGTGACCCATTTGGCGTACTTGAGGTTGAGGTCGTCGGCGTCGTGGACCCAGTGTGTGTACACGAAGTGCGCGTGAGGCTGCTTACAACGTGTGGGTACAGCTTGCTGCCATTGTTCTTCCCACAGGTCCCTCGGAGGAGGAGGAGGAGGAGGAGGACGGGTCGCCTGGGCCCTTCGGAGGAACCCTCTAGAGCCCCCATTTGGCGGCGCGCACAGAAGGGGGTGGAGCGGGAGGGGAGAGGGCGTCCGAGAAGGAGGCTGCCTTCCCAGACGGCGCCGGCCTTACGTCTACGGCAGAGGCCCGCCCCACTCCTGAGAAGCTGGGGTGCCTCCAAGAAGCCTCAAGTCGGGCCTGTCCCCCTACAGGGGGGTTTTGGTCGAAAAATAAAGAAAAACTCAAAACATGTTCAAAAGATGCCCAAAAATACTAAACAAATAGTCCCCCGACTATTTTTTACTATTTTCGAATATTTTCCCCCTGTAGAGGGACATGCCCGACTTAAAAGAAGCCCTGCCCCCTCCCCCCGCCCCCCCCCCTGCGCGTGGCCAACCGCCGCCCGGGCCCCTCCGGGGGGGGGGGACCCGAGGGCGCCCGGGAGCATCGAGCCCTCGACGCGCGGCCACGTGCCACGCGCGAGCCCCGCCCCATGCGGGCCAGATTTGTTTGTGAAGCGCTGGCCAGGGGCTCGGGATCCGAAGGGCGTCTGCCATCGGGTGGACCCCAGGCTGGGTGCCCGATGCCAGAGGAAGCCCAAGCTGCATACGCAGAGACTTCTCGGGGAAACGTGTGTTGTAAACTGTTGGATGGGCGATGGAGCCCCCTTTCCTTGCCAAGCGCGCCAAACTACTAGCAAAGTAACTTCTCGCCAGTGGCCTGGATCCGCCGCGGGAGATTTACGAGAACTTACATTGAGGCAAACATATGTGTTTTCTGACGTTTGCGAGAAGGCACTTTGATAGTGGTGAAACGCGCACGGTGACTTCCCTGTTGCGCGGAACGAGCAAGCGGGGCCACTGGAGGCGCCGCAAGGGGGGCTCAGCGCAGATCCAAGGAATCCGCGCAGACGTCTGAGAATTGATGTTTACGCTTTTTCTTCCTCGACCAGCGTCGACAGGACCCGCAAGGGTATGGACCGCAACCGGTCGCAGCAGCGACCCACCGCCGACGGCGGTGGCGGCGGCGGCGGCGGTGCCGCCGACCTCCTCCTCGGTCCGCTGCGGGGGCCGCAGGAGCACCGGGACCAGCACCTTGTGGAGGGGGATGGGGCGCCGCCAGCGGAGACGGCGGCGGCCTCTCCCGAGCGAGGAGGGATGGAGGACCGGATCGAGGAGGGGGAGCCTCAGGATGGGGATGAGGATGGCGAGGAGGAGGGAGAAGAGGAGGAGAAGGAGCACGAGGGGGGGTAGAGGATGGGGAACCCTCCTCCCCCTCCCCCTCCCCCCACTCCTGCTCCTGCCCCTCTCCACCCTCCTCCTTGGCTGCCTCGTCCTCCCTAGGATCGACGATCGAGGGCAGTTTGCCTTTCAGGTGTACCTTGCGGTGGAGGGTTGTAAGGAACCGAATTTTAGACACCGATGCTTTTTTTCCGGTCCCGCACTGAGATTTGCACAAGAAAACGGTTTATGGTGTATACTGCATCCTTGTGTATACATTGCTTGTTGTTTCCACGGGAAGACGGGGAACAAAGTATACACCACACCACCCCGACGTCGGCCCCGACCCTAAAAAAAGTCCTGGGATTGAGAAACCGCCCGCCACTGGTAGTGTATATGCTCCAGTTTCCGAGGTTAGGGACCGAGCACTCGGTGCGATCGCTTCTGGGAGGGCATGGGACATGAGGAGGGCGACGACACGCGACGGAGCAGCGCCCGTCAGAGCAGGCAACTGCTCCGGTGCACGGAGCAACGGGTCTGACGACCACGTCAGTCCGTTACGCCTGCACAACCGCAGGTCTGTACACCACCGCGAGAGCACGATCAGTGGAACAAGCAAATCAATGAGCATACATTTTCGGGATCTGTACACCAACGCGAGGACACGACCAGTGGAACAAGCAAATCAATGAGCATAAACTTTCGGAGGTCCGCGCGGAGTTCTTGGATCGGCGATGGGCCCCCTCCCTGCCACTCGGAACGCGCCAGGGGCGGCGCTGGAGGCGACGCCAGGGGGCTCCGGCGCCGATCTGGAGGTGGATGCCACGTTCTGATCCCTGGAATCTGGACCACCCCGACATGCGAAGCAGTTTAGTAAACGCACCCAAAGGAGGAATTAACTAGAGCAAAGCTGTTTAGTAAACGCCCACGGCTGTTTAGTAAACGCCAATTATCCAGTCTGGGTGGTTTTTCCTCCCTTGACGGAAAATGGAGGCTACGCACGGAATGCGCTTCATGTGCAAACTTGCGCACGAACGCAGGCGAGACAGAGGTGGTCTTGGGAATGCGAACCTGCACTCTGCCACCGAGATGGTTGCAGCCGCGAACACTATGCTTAAGTCGGGCCTGTCCTCCTACAGGGGGATTCTGGGCGACCAGTAAGAAATACCCCACACATGCTCAACAATAGTCAAACATACTCGAAAAACGTGCCCAAAACTATTTTTGACTATTTTTGAATAGTCCCCCTGTAGAAAGACGTGCCTAACATGATGCGGCCGCGAACTTGGACGTTGAGGATGTGCACGGGATCGAAGGCGGCTCCTGCGCAAAGCGGGGCTCCCGCTGCACACCTCCCCGGAGACTCCAGGAAATCAACCCTCGCGCGGCCCCGGTGGCCCCGGGAGGCCCCGAGCAGGAGGAGGAGGAGGAGGAGGAGGAGGAAGTTCGAGGAGAAGGAGGAGGAAGTTCGAGGAGGAGGAGGAGGAGGAGGAAGTCCGAGGAGGGTTTGGGGGGGGGGCCATCCTGTGGTTCGTCCTGGCCAAGCTGTGCGTGGATACGCAGCCGTGGCGGCGGGCCGTCGTCCGCATGCCCCAAGAGGCGCACCAGAGTCAAAACTGGCACCCTGGCGGCAGCAGGCCCTGAACAGCCTTACTGACGGGGCCCACAAGCACACAAATAAATACACACAAATAACAGAACTCCCCATATTTTCCCATATTTCCTGGGTTTTTGTCTTCCCCCCATTTCCCATATTTTCCAATATTTTCTGGGGAATCGACGATGCATTGTGTCTGTGTTTTTTCTCCTCCTGACTTACTTACGCAGCTCACGACAGGGGGCCGCGATGGGCCACCGATTTCGAGGGCCGGGCATATCTCCACCGGGGGTCTAGAACAATCAGGCAGAACCCTCCACGAACAGGCAACCCTTCTTGGAGAAACAGACTCGATCCTCGACGGTCGATCGCGGGGGGGGCGGGCGGAGGAGGAGCTGGAGGAGGAGGAGACAACAGCCAGCAATGCAGAAAGCGAAACGTGCGGAGGTCCGCGCGGATTTCTCGGGGATGGACAGACCCCCCTCTCTAGCAAAACGTGGTTCAGTGACAACGACCTGAGGCCCGAACCCGGCGGGCGCAAGCCTGGAAAGTGACGGCCACGGCGCGCCCCCCCGCAAACCGACAGCGGACAATGCACTAATCGACGTGTCACTGTTGGGGGCTCTGTCCACCCCCGATTCTGAAACAGGGCTAATTAGGATCGGGATAAATCGCTCCAGAGCGTTCTGGAGCGCTCTCGGAGCGTTGCGGGACGCTCTGGAGCGGCCGCGGCGCCCAACACATCCTCCAAACCCGCCGCTTCCCAGAGACTTCGAGTTACCCCGATCCGATTTTGTCATGATCTTCGCGTCGTTTTGGATGGCCACTGTTGGGGGATTCTGTCCACCCCCGAACTTCCTGGATCGGCGCTGCACAACCCCTCCCTGCCGCGCGGAGCGAGAGCCGATGGGGGAGGAGGAAGAGGAGGAGGAGGAGGAGGAGGAGGAGGAGGAGGAGGAGGAGGAGGAGGACCCCCGAATCTCCTGGATCGGCGCCGCACAGCCCCTCCCAATGCCGCGCGGAGCGAGACGGGGGCGGCGCCGGAGGCGCCGAGAAGCAGGAGGGCTCCCTGCGCCGACCCACGCAGTCCGCACCAGCCTCCAACAGGGTACAGTACAGGGCAGGGGTTTGAACACATACAACCTAGGCGATGCTTAAGAAAACCTAAGTTTTCGTCCAGAGTCTCGATTATTCTTAACTTTTCAATGTAAATCCCAAGATTTTGATAGAAGTTCTGGGTTTTATTCCATTTCTGAGACTATGAATTTCTTAACCCATGATTTCTTAAGCATTTCGCAGGGTGTAGGATTTTTAAGTGCATTGGATTTTTTCATACATGACTCATGCATGAGTACATTTATGCATGACCTCATCGTTGCTTTTAATACTGAGACCCTGCATTTTTAATGCATGATCCGCGCGCGGAGCATGTGTTCAAAGAGGCACTGTAGGGGCCCGACCACAAGAACCTCCCACAAGGAGCCAACCCTGAGACCCCAGGGTGCCCACTGATTTTTGGGTGGGCACGTCGCGCTCTCCAGAGCAGAACCGTCGAAGCCCAAGGAACACAGGGCACCCTGGAGGCAAGCAGGGTGCGTCTTGGCATGGGCCTCCACTGTATGCTCGTGCTGATTCTTCTTCAAAAAAGAAGCGACCCAAGCAGCGCCGATGGGGGTCACTCTCCTCCAGGAAACCGAACTTCGCTGCAGCCACAAGGACTCCCAATGCCAATCAAAAAAACGTCCAACACCTGTAGGGATCCTCGCCCCTGCCTCCTCCTCCTCGATCCTCGACGTCCAGAGAGAGGCGGTGACCCCGCCCCCCGGCACTGCCAGGCCTGACCTGGACCGACTCGCAAAATCGGGCCGGGTCGAAATCGCACCGGATCGCCAACGAGACGCCCCGAAGCCGGCGAATCGATAGGAGCTGGATAGACCCGGCATCGCGGCCCCCGCCCGCGAGTCGAACCCCATCGTCTCGGATCGTGGGCGGCCCTGCCGTGGCACTGCGCCCGAAGGGCGGCGAGCCCCAGGGAAGAGGAGGAGGAGGAGGAGGAGAAGGAGGAGGGGGAGGGGGAGGAGGAGGGGGAGGGGGAGGGGGAGGAGGAGGAGGGGGGGGAGGAGGAGGAGGAGGGAGGAGGAGGAGGAGGTGGAGGAGGAGGAGGGGGGGGGGGGGGGGGGGGCGGCACCGTGAAGTGCAGGGTGCCCCCCGCCGTCCTCGGCTGACGGTGCCCGCCGCCGCCGTGGCCGCCGCCGCCGAGGGGCACGCGGTCGAATGCCGCGCCGGGGCCTGCGGGGCGCGAAGATGCATCGGCGGCCACATGTGAACCCTACCTCCGCCTCCCGCGATCTCGAATGGGGGGGTGGGGGCTCCCTTCGCTCGGAAGCTCCCGAACGAAGCGGACCCCCACCTCACCCTTAGAGGTCGTGGGTTGAGCTGGGACCGACCGTCCCGGCATTCCTATGGTCCTACCACGAAATGTTCTTAGAACATGGACAAAACAATGCTCTTAGAACATAAGCCCGATGTGCTAAAACAAGACAGATTCCGCCAGAAATGTTATAAGAAGATGTCGTGGGAGCCACAAAAAGATCTTAGAGCATTGTTTGGTAGCGCTGTAGGCGAGCCAGGACGCTTCGCCACTGCTTGAGTGGGGGGTGGGGCGTAGGGTTACCATATGGTCACCAAGTATAGACGACGACAGCGAGCAGCGACAGCCGTCCCGGGTGCGAGGTGTGCGGGCGTTTCCGTTGGCCCTCGCTGGGCTTCCAGCCTCGAGGTGCCCTCCGGCGGCTGGCCCTCGCCGAGGGCGCTCCAGGGGTGGCCAGATGTATCGTCCCGAACGGTCGCTGCAGAGCCCGGTCACGGCCTGAACACCAAGGGGCAACGTTAGGGGGTGACCGGCTTAAGGGGAGGAACCATCGACCTGGAATCGGCGATGCATCGCCTATCGATAAATGATGAACCACCGGTAGCGGAACCGCAGGTTCCTGGGCGGGGTGGGCCATGAGGCTCTTATCGGTCATCGGCGATGACTGCGCGAGTGGGGATCGATATCCCCCCTATCGTTGCCCCTGATCGTGATTGTGTGGTGTCGCTGTTTTCTGGCGTCGCTCGGGGAACTTTACGTCCCCCACACATCCGTCGGCTCGATCTTGCCTTGAACACATGCCCTTCGGCCTTTCGACCCATTTCTGGGGACCCGCTTTTCGGTTCGAATCATTGCTTGACGTATCCTGTGGCCCTGGAACGATTTCCCAGAGGCCAGCAATTGCGAAACACGTCCGTCGTGCCCGCGAACCTCCTCCTCCTCCTCCTGCTCCTCCTCTGCGTCCCCTCTCTCCACTCATCCTCCTTCTCCAGCCGAGGCAATCCTGGGAGGGCCCTCGCGGAAATTGCATGGTCTGGCGAAGATGCCGAGACTATGTCGGTGGTCCGCGTTCCACGGGTCCGGGATCCTTTGTTTGGCGGCGCGCACAAGGGGGTAGGGGGAGGGGGGAAGGCTTCTGAGAAGGAGGCTGCTTCTTAGAAGGCGCCCGCCTTACATCTACAAATAAGGCCCGCGCCTTCTAAGGAGCAGGGGTGCTTCTAAAAAGCCTTCCCCCCTCCCCCCTACCCCCTTCTGCGCGTGGCCAGTTCGTTCCAAGAGGCACACAAGATGATATAACCACAAACTGTCGGAGGTCCGCGCGGACCCAGGCTGAACCCCATCGTCTGGCGCTCGGAGCGCGCAAAGGGCGGCGCCGGAGGAGCCGCTAGGGGGCTCCCGCATACGTCCGAACATGTGTATTCGTTTTTGTTCGACGCCCATCGTTTGAGCAGGGACCGACCGTCCCGGCATTCCTATAGCCCTACCACGAAATGTTCTTAGAACCCAAAAATGTTCTAAGAACAAAAACAAGAACATAAACCCGATATGTTAAAACAAGACAGTCCCAACTAGAAATGTTCTAAGAACATTTCGTGGGAACCACAAACAATTCTTAGGACATTGTTTGGTGGGGCTATAGGCGAGCCGGGACGCTTCGCCACTGCCTGATTTTTCGACGCCAATCATCTTACGAGCTGGCTGACCAATGAGGCCGGCATGCCCAAGTTTCCGAGGCTGGGTCTCGGCGAAAGATGCCCCGCCGACGTGAGTGGGCGGCTGGCGGCCAGGCTTCTGGGCCACAAGCGTAGAGGAGAACTGGGAGGATGGAGAGCAGAGCGCGTGCTGATAGCACAGAGGGCGATGGTCTACAGTCGAGGCGTTGACCTAAGGAACCCAAAATGAGGAACGAGGCCCCTTTTTCCCGTAAGTTGAACTCCGATTTCCCACGGAAAGCCCAGGGCAAACTGTAGAACAATCAAGGAACACCGAGCCCCTCCCACAGGAAAAGGGTTCCTTCGTCAGCGCCCCGACTGTACACCCTGCGAAATGCTTAAGAAATCATGGGTTAAGAAATTCACAGTCTCAGAACTTGAACAAAAATCCAACATTTCTATTAAAATCTTAAGATTTACATTGAAACGTTAAGAATAATCGAGACTCTGGCCGAAAACTTAAGTTTTCTTAAGCATCGCCTAAGGTGTAGAGGGTGATGGACCAGACGAAGGATCGAGCAGGACAAAAAACATACAGCAGGAGAGTCCGCCGACCCCCGCCCGGCGCGTAAGAGGACTGGCGGTCCCCTCCTCCCTTCCTTGCCCCCCCTGGGGGCTGGAGTCCGACAAAGGGGGGGGGGCCCCTGAGGGAGGGGTATCCAGGATCCCCAACGCTCCCCCAGGGCCTCCAGGGCCTCCGGTTCAACACTCCGAGGCCTTCAAGATGCCTGATCTTCCATCTGCTTGCTCAGGCTGGGCTCGAACACGCCAAGGAGACCTCAAAACAACCAAGATAGCCTCAAGATGGTCAAAGAAGCCTCCAAGACTCACCAGACAGCTCCAAGAGGCCAACATCGCCCAATTCGACAGGAGAGCTTTAACTTCTTATTATGCCCACCCGGATTGTTTCAAAAGCGTCCAAAGCGGCTCAAGATGCCCCCAAGATCCCTCCAGGACGTCCAAAGAAGTCCCTAAGAGGGCCCCAAGACGGTCCAAGAGAGCTCCAGAATGGCCCCAGAGGCGCCCGAGACGGCCAGAGAAGCCCCAAAGGAACCTCAACAGGGGCCGACGAGGGGGACCTGACTTGCATGCCGCCAACGGGAGCCCAACAGACCGCCAGCAGGCACCCGGCAGTAGCTTTAATTCCAATTCCAAAATTCTAACTTGAATTCCAATTCTGACGTCATTCCAATTCGAAAGTCCAATGCCAAGTTCCAAGTCAAAGTTCGATAACTACCCCCAAGAGGCCCCAAACATGCCCCAAGGGGCTCCAAGAGGCCCCAAGGGGCTCCAAGAGGCCCAAGAGGCCCCAAACATGCCCCAAGGGGCCCCAAAAGGGGCCCCTTTTAACATACCCCAAGCGGCTCCCGGAGGCCCCAAGCATGCCCCCGAGGTGCCCCTCGAGCGGCCCCGCAAAGGCTCGGGCCCCGCCCGTGGGCCCCACCTCGCCTGGGGGGGGGTCGGCAGGAGGGCGCAGGCCTTGGAGCAGAGAGCGTGCGTGCAGGGCAGGTCTTACTGCTTGGGATCATCTAACAATATGATTGTTTAATGCATGGTTAATCTATGAATCAATCCATACATGAACTCCTCGTTGTTTCAATGCTGCACCCCTGTATTTTTAATACATGATCCGCACGCGGAGCATGTATTAAAACGGGCACTGTACAGTCAACCCGCAGAGCACGGATGCGCGATAAGGATGCAAGGCCCTTGGAAGCCCATTTCGAGGCTTTTCGAGCGGGCCGCGGCCAACCAGAGCGGCCGAGGATGGGCCGAGGCGGCAAGGATGCAAGGGTACCCTTGGAAAGGCTGGCCATCCTGACTGTGCGGGCTGACGGTGCGGCATGCACCAGAGAGCAGGCAGCGCGGAGCACAGCGCAGACAGCAAAAAGCAGAGAGTGATCAGAGCTGAGAACGTGCATATGGCATGCACCAGAGAGCAGGCAGCGCGGAGCACAGCGCGGGCAGCAAGAAGCAGAGAGAGTGATCAGAGCCGAGAGGCGAGAGCAGGGAGGATGGGGTGGAGAGTAGAGCGCGGAGAGAAGAAAGTAATTGTAGAGGGGGAGGGTACATGGCAGAGAGTCGAGCGAGAGACAGAGAGAGCGAAAGGAAGAGAGAGAGAGAGAGAGAAACATGAGAAAGGAGAGAGAGAGAGAGAGAGAGAGAGAGAAATGAGAAAGGATAGAGAGAGAGAGAAGAGAGAACGCAAACAATAGAAGCCCAGATAACCGGACTTGCGTCCTTCGCCCACATGGCAGTGGTGTGTTCATTGGTGCGAGCTGAAAAAATATACCCACCGCATGGGAAGCTGGCCTCCCAAAGGTCCCTGGGGTGAGGCACATACATCCTTACTTCACTGCCTCCTGGGGTCTCGGGAAGCTGTCTTCCAAGGTTGTGGGCGTGCGTAAAACTCGAGTCTCGGACCAACCCGACTTCATGACCCCTGGGGGTCTGGACGCACCCCCCCCCCAGGAGCAGACACGACAAATTGTTTGAGGCCCCCAAGGACTGAAAACTGCCAACCACATTCGGTTGTTATGGATGCACGGCACGAGCTGGTTGAAGGACAAATATTGGCCAGCGCGGCCGCAAAACAGTGCGTCATTGCACTGTGAAGGTGAAGCCAAGGCGATGACAGTCATGTGTATTGAGCTGATGAAGGCAAGACCATGCGGTGTTAACTATGTGGCGTGAGCTATGTCATGTAGTTTCGGTGGTTGGGGAAGTGCAAGCTGTGGGGTGCAAACTGAGTAATGTAAGTTACAGTCGGCACGGATTAGTAGGTCGACCCTGCCAAGTCAAGGGTACCTTTGTGTCCTGTGTCTCGCGACCCATGCCTCCTGCATTCCTGTGGCAATGTGGCCCTCGGAAGGGTCTTTTGTCCCCTCGCGTGTCCTGTCCACTGCAGGCCGACTGCATGTTGTGTGCTGTATGCGATGCAAACCACGCGGTGCAAGCGAAAATGGCCTGGGACCGAAACCGACGGACCTGGACCCGCAAAAATGACGGCCGCGACGCCCTCTCGCGAACCGAAGACGGCCTATTCCTTAATCGACGTGTCAGGGTAGGAGGTCTGTCCCCCCCCCGACCGCATGCGGTACAAACCACGCGGTGCAAAAGCAACAGCGCGGCGGCAGCGAGCGGCGAGACCTCGGGACCTCGCAGCTAAAACGCCCGAGCACGCAGCGGGGCGGCAGCGTGGGCGGCCACGTGGCGAACCGGCGGCGGACCCTCCAAGAGCGCGAGGGGCGGCAGCGTGGCGGCAAGGGAGGGCCACGTGGCGAAACATCGGCCGACCCTCGGGCGCGGCGGGCGGCAGCGAGGCGGCAGCGGGCGGCAGCGTGGCGAAGACTCGGACGCCCCCCCCCCCCGAGCGCGGTGGGCGGCAGCGAGGCGGCGAGAGGCGGCAGCGTGGCGAGACCTCGGCGGGGGGCCCCCCCAGCGCGGGGGGTGGCAACGGGGCGGCAACGGGCGGCAGCGTGGAGAAATCTTGGCGGGCCCAGACAGTTCCTTAGTGGCATAAAAGAGAACTCCTCAGTGTACACCCTGCGAAATGCTTTAGAAATCATGGGTTAAGAAATTCATAGTCTCAGAATTCGAATAAAAACCCATAATGTCTAGTCAAATCTTGGGATCTACATTGAAACATTAAGAATAATCGAGACTCTGGCCGAAAACTTGGGTTTTCTTAAGCATCGCCTAGAGTGTAAGCACTGTTGAGGGAAGCAGCTGCGTACACACTGAACGTCGGAGCTCCACGCGGACTCCCTGGATCGGCGCTGCCCAGCCCCCCGCGGGCGCGCACGGAGGCGCCGCCAGTGGGGTCCAAGAGCCGACGCGAGAAAAAATCGCGCGGACCTCCGACAACTTCTGTTCATGCACCTCGCTGTATTTCGAGTGGCGCGGTCTCGGGGCTCGAGCTTGGGCCCTGGGCCCCATCCGGGGGCAACTCCCGCCCCGAAATTCGACGAAACGCTCGCCGTGGCACCGGGAGGGCGCCCCAAACCCGCAACACAGGGCAGACAACGACGTGACACCGTCACAGAGCCTCTGGGCCCAAGAATCGGAGAAGGCCCGTTTGAGACACTGGGAGTTCGAAATCGGCTCAAAATCGGTCCCCGGACCCCTCCCAGGGTCCAAGCGCACTCGTTTTTCGCGCTGCGTCCGGCCGTGGCGGCGAGGGGGCCCCCCGAAGGCCAACTGTCGGTGTCTCAAATGGGCCTCCTCTGAAAGAAGCCAGATCCTCGATCGCCCCTCGATCCTGGGAGCTTCAGCCTGGATCGTCGAAGGGGGGGGCGGAGCGGAGAGCGCCCCCAAACGTGGTGGTTAGAACACCCGGTTGTGAGTTTTGGGCGATTTGGGTCATGGTTTTCGAGCGCCGGCTGGCTCAGGAAACGCAAAACCTCGTGGCGACCGCGTGGCCCCAAACCCGGTGGTGACCCAGAATTATTTCTTTGGGGAATCGGGGTCACCACCGGGTGTCTCACCACCTGGTTTGGAGACCACCAATAACCCGATCGCTTCCACTGTCGCGGAACGCCGCTCTTCTTCCGGGGGGGGCAGAGCCGAGCACCCCGCCCCTGGACGTCCGACGCTCTTCTTCTTCTTCGCTCGCTCCGCGGCCTCCCCGGACAGCCCCGCCTTCTCCCCCCGAGAGTATACACCCTGCGAAATGCTTAAGAAATCATGGGTTAAGAAATTCATAGTCTCAGAACTTGAATAGAAACCCAACATTTCGATTCACAACTTTGGATTCATATTGAAACGTTAAGAATAACCGAGACTCGCGGCCTCCCCGGAAAGCCCCGCCTTCTTCCCCCGAGAGTATATGAAGGGGCCCCAGGACACACACACACACACATACATACACACAAAGAAAACTATTCCCCATATTATTTTCCCAAAGATGTTTTCTGGGTTTCTGTCTCCCCCCCCCCCCTCTCCCCATATTTGCCCATATTTTCCTAGGGAATCCTGGAGGAATCGAGGACCCCTGGGGAATCGAGAATTTGCATTGAAACGTAAAGAATAATCCAGACTCTGGCCGAAAACTCACGCTTTCTTAAGCATCGCCTAGGGTGTAGGCCTTCCGGGCCGGCTCCGTCGCGATGGCTCGAGGCGGGCCCCGGAGGCCGAGGTCGGGGAAGAGCCTGTTGTTCTTTGGCCTCGGGCAAGTTTACTTGCATGGCGTTCGCCCCCCCCCCCCCCCCCCCCCCCCCCCAAAACACCCCCTCCTCCCTCCTCCCTCCTCCCTCCTCCTTCCTTCCTCCTCCTCCTCCCCTCCCCTCCTCCTCCTCCTCCCCCTCCTCCTCTCCTCCTCCTCCTCCTCCTCCTCCTCCTCCTCCTCCTCCTCCTCCCTCCTCCTCCTCCTCCTCCTCCTCCTCCTCCCCCTCCTCCTCCTCCCTCGGCCTGGGCAGGCCCGCGGACTCCCTCCCTCGAGGCGGGCTCGCCCACTGGTGGAGCTGCCTGGCGGCCTCGGCCGGGACCCCCTCGCGCGGACCAACTCGGCGGACCAACACACCCCACCCCTCGCCCCGCTTCTATCGAATACGAGCGTGCAAGTGCTTTTCGACTTGCGTGATTTCGGCACGTAATGTCGTTTGCGGCTTACTTCAGGTCCAGCCCCCCCCCCGCCCATGCAAGTAAACTTGCTAGAGTCTAAAAAAAACAGGCTCGAACCATGCCGGAACTGAGCGGATCACCTCGTCGGAGATCTTCGGGAGCGGCAAAGAGGGGGGTGTCCAAGAGTGGGGGGGGGTGCAAATCGTGACCGGCGGCGTTAAGAAGAGGCGCCACGAGATCTGGGGAAACATCATGGCCCCCGCCATGATATCCCCCCCAGTCATCACCCCCCATTTTGCCGCCCCCGAGTCTGGGACCGGGGGGCAAACACCACAGGCCCCGCACCCCCCTCCTATGGAGGGCGCTCTGGCCAGGAGCTCGAGACCGACCCAGCCGCTGTCACGAGGAGCTTCCACTGGAGGTGCCAGAACAATGGAATCCGTCGATCCTCGAACTTCTATCGCCCCGAGCGTGGGGTCGGCCGGGCCGCCTGGGGGTCTGCGCCTGTCGTGAAGTCGGGCCTGGCCCCCTACAGGGGGATTTTCGACGAAAAATAATAAATACCCCAAACATACCCCAAAAAGGTAACAAACATACTCCCGACATAGTCCCCAGACAAAAAAAAACAAACAAGTTATTTTTGGGGTGTCTTCTATTTTTCGTGGAAAATCCCCCCCCCCCTGAAGGGGGACAGGCCCGACTTACGCCTGTCGTTGCCCCCGCCCCCCCGGTGGGAACGGTGCGGCCGCGCCTGGGATGAGCCCGAGGCCGGAGGATTGCCCGCCGCCGCCGAGCGCCTCGCGGAGGAGGCCCGGCTGGTGCCGGCTTCTGGAGGACCTCTGCGGCCGCAGAGGGAGGGGGGGGAGGGAGGAGGGAGGGGGGCAGAGGGAGGAGAGAGGAGCGAGGAGGAAGGAGGCAGGGAGGGAGGAGTGGGAAGGGAGGAAAAAGGAGAGATAGGGAGGGGAAGGAGGAGAGAGGGGAGGGGAAGGAGGAGGAGGGAGGAGAGAGGAGAGGAAGGAGGAGAGAGGGGACAGGGGGGGGGGGAGAGGAGGAGTGGGGAGAGAGGAAAAAAGAGGACAGAGGAGGATGGTGGGACGATGCCGTGGGCGAGTGCCGTGGTCCGCAACGGAGGAGGAAGCGAGGGGGGAGGAGGACAGGGAGGAGAGAGGAGGAGGGAGGAGGACGGGGGTTAGCGAGTAGGAGAGTAAACGGTTGGGGGCGATAGTAGAGGGTTGGGGCGATAATACATGTTTTGGGACAGTTGGTGTGGCTACCCAACACGGTTGGGAACAACTGGTGCGATTGTGCAGGGCACGATTCCCAATAACACGGTCACGGTAAGATCCCGGCGGGGCCGTAGTAGCAACGGCGACACGGGATAAAGTACTGTTCGAGTGTGGTGCCCTAGTAGAGTCTGCCGTGCTCTCGGGAAACGGGGTGAAAAAAAGGCCACAGAAAAAACTACGGCTGCGTAAGATGGTCGGCTCCCTCGCCACCTCGATGATGATTTCGTCATCCTGAGCAAAATGTAACACTCTCTTGGCAGGCTGAGCAACTTGCATATCAATGTGTGGGAGATGTCCCCGACATGTTCCAAATTCGCCAACGAACCGTCGCTGAGACACCCAGCTGCTCCCGCGACCCGAGCCAAGAAAACCCAGGCAGAGTCCTCCGGGCAGGAACAAGAAAGCGCGGTTTCCTGTAGACTATACGTGCCAAGTCACAAGTGGACGACAGAGCCACCAATCCTGGCCTTCCCCTTGTTCACTATAGCGCAGGAGGGAGGCCGGTGGAGGGGGGAGGCAGACAACATTGGATTGGAACCCTGCCTACACCCTCAGGTGAATGGCTGCAATCTTGATGCTGCCCCTGGCGCACTGAGCGCGCTGGGTTCGCGGGCGTTGGTCGCCAATGTCTTCTCAACTCAGGAGGTTCATTGCGCCGTCGCTGCGAACGACACGTCGCCATTTTTGGAAAAGGTTGATCAAAATGGCCGCGGTTACCACTTCCGCAGTGGCAGATGTAGTGCCACACGGGTAAGCTGTTGAAGTCTTCCACTGCCAACATGCTGACCCTCACCGCTCTTTCAACAGAGCAGCGCAGGCGGCCCACCCTGCAGCCAAGCATCGCCTCCCAGCGCTGTCGTGGGATCAGTGCTCAACGTGCTGCGCAGTCTGGCCGCGCGTAATTCGCCAATGTCCTCTTGCCTCCGCCAGGATGGCTGCGCCTGTGGCCCACAGATCGCGCGCTGCACGCATCGCCCAGCGCAGCAGCGGCACCATCCTCGGATGGAAGAAGCGCCACACCCCATCGATCCATGCCATGATGTCCAGGTGGTCCAGGGGAACAGGACCTAGATACCATGGCTGGATGCGCCTTGAGATCCTCCTGGTCGGAACGCACCCCAGGGGAAGCCCTTGGAGTAGCGACGTGTATAAATTTTTGCTCTCCCCCAGCTGCCACTTTTTTTTGAGCTCAACGCCCGCGCAACCTTGGTGAACACAGCAGCGGCGGCTGGGACAGCGCTGCTGGCAGTGAGGGAGACCTCACTGACCGACAGAGTACCTCCAGTAGCCCCATGGGCTAGGAGGCACTGGCCACACGACGGGCGACCGCTCCGTGGCCGGAGCAAGAAAAAAACAGTCCAGCGCCGCAGCAGGGCATACGGTCGGGGAGGGCAAATCCTCCCCCGTGCCTGCCGGAGGAGGGAAAAACCTTGCCCCGCTGACCGGCTGCGTGCCGGCCTGCGGCCTCCTCCGCCCCGCGTGCGGAGAAAGAAAGGCTCGGCTCTTCGCTGCGCCGCGCGGCACTCGTCCCCGCGCGCCTGTTGGGCGAGGCGTGCCGTTGACTCTGGCCTCGTCCATGGCGCTCGTAATGATCGGCGGTGGACAAACCTCCCTTTAGCAAACCTCCCCTTAGTGAAAACGGCCTGGGACCAAAACCGACGGATCCGGACCCGCCTAAATGACGGCCGCGACGCCCTCTCGCGAACCGAAAACGGCCAATTTCTGAATTGGCGTACCAGGGTAGGAGGTCTATCCACCTCCGAAATGAGCGCGTCCACGGAATTGCCAGTCTTCCGCCATAGATCGTAGGCACCAATCGAGACCCACAGTGCGGTTCAGGGCGCCTTCCCACAGAGCCTGGCGACGCCATCCAACACGATGGACGCCGATTGATCCTGCAAGCGCCCGCTGTTCTGCGGAAGCCGCTCTGTACCCAGCCTCTTGCGCCCATGTTCTTAAGGCTTCCAAGCGAATGCGTTTCAACATCTGCCACGCAGAGTCCAGTAAAATATCCAAAGTTGCAGACACCCAACCACGAGGATGACAAAGCGGGCGGGACATTCTTCTCCAATCGTCTGGGAGACCACAGTAGCCAAACGGTGCAGTTGCCTGAAATTAAACTCAAGCGCGCGCATACCCACCAGGAAGTTAGCACGTTTTAAAGAAAACATAGAAGATGACAGGTTTGCTAAGTGCTTTGTGTTGACCAAATAGCGCGTCTGCGAGATCGTATGAGATCGCCGAAGTGCCGGGGTTTCATGGGCAATCGGTTGAATTGAATGGAAAACGCTGAAGACCCAACACTGACTCGTACCAACGTGTCTCTTGCGAAGCGGGGTGGCCCTGCCCGGGCAACGTCCCAACTGCCACCCTGGCAATCCGACGCGCCAGCCGCCATCGATTTGGTGGAGGCGCTGTAGCATCATCACTTTTGAAGTCCGCGACTCGCAACAGCAAATTCGAACTTGAACCATCTGGGTGCAGTGACGCTAACAGCGCTCGCGCCTGCTCATGAGTGGTCTCCGGATGTGGGGATCGGCCCAATATGGAGGCCTCCCAAAAAGGGCCCGAGCAGACAGAGCCTGACGATCGCTCCGAATCGCCCATGCATCGCCCATACATCGGCGTGGAGCAGCTCGGGCTCCACATCGAGCCTCCTCGCCGATGCATCGGCGACGCGGCGCGATCCTCCCAGGGACTCCATGTGGGCGGCGTGGAACTACGCTCTGTGCGTCGCCCCCTTTGTTGAATTGTCGGTGCCGTCTCGTTCTAATACTGGAACGCCTTGCCCAACTGCACCGACCTCTCCGCCTTCGGCACGATCATGTGCACTTCTGCGCCAGCCTCCAGATCCCAGGCCCGATCGATGGCTGAGATGTTTTCCTGGGCGTCGCGATCTCGAAAGAACATGTATGTGACAAACATCGAATCCTTCTTCCGATAGTTGTGAACCCCCTGCTGGCGGGGAGTAAACATAGGAGGGGGCGCGCCAACCTGAACAACAATTCGATACGGGGGGTCAGAAATCAGGCCTCACTCTCCCCCTCCCAGGAAAATTATTCGCGGGGTCCAGAATCCCCCCCCTCATCCCCGCCCCCCCACCCCCGGCAACGACGACGCCGACGGCGGCAACGTCAGCGGCGGCGACTGCGCACCTGTCGCCGGCGCCTGCGGCAGGCGCTGGCCCTAATAGAATGCTACTAGGGCTCTACATCCTACAACGGCCGTGCTGTACTCTGCACTACTCTAGTCTACTCTACCCTACTCTACAGTGCTCTGTTCTACTCCTCTACTCTGCCCTACTCTACTCTACCCTACTCTACTCTGCTCCACTCTACTCTACTCTACACTACCCTGCATTACTCTACTCTACTCTGCTGCCGCTCTAGTCCTACTCTGCTCAGCGTTTCTCTGCTCTAGTCTACACTACCCTGCTCTACTCTACTCTGCTGCTGCCCTAGTCCTACTCTACTCAGCGTTTCTCTACTCTGCTCTACGTCTGCCCGATATTATGCGCATCCTCTTCTCGGCTCGACTCTCTGATACAAAGATCCCTGCTCGACTCTACTCTACCCCACTCTACTCCACCCTACCCTAAGGCACCCCACCCTACTCTACGCGACTCTATTTCCCAACCATCCTGTGGTGTTGGGTCCTCGTTTTGAAGAGACGGCGCCCCGCGTTCCCCACCTCCTCCTCCTCCCCCCCCTCCCTCCTCCCATCATCATCATCATCATCATCATCATCATCATCATCATCATCATCATCATCATCATCATCATCGTCATCATCATCATCATCACCATCACCATCACCATCACCATCACCATCACCATCACCATCACCATCACCATCACCATCACCATCATCATCATCATCATCATCATCATCATCATCATCATCATCATCATCATCATCATCATCATCATCACCACCGATTTCGGCACACCCCTCACACGTTTCGTGGCCCCATAGGGAGCTCCACCGAAGGCCCCAGTGGCAGGGTCCGCATGCCTCCCCACCACCCATTTCGGCACACCCCTCACACGTTTCGTGGCCCCATAGGGAGCTCCACCGAAGGCCCCAGTGGCTGCGTTCGCATGCCTCCCCACCACCCATTTCGGCACACCCCTCACACGTTTCGTGGCCCCATAGGGAGCTCCACCGAAGGCCCCAGTGGCTGCGTCCGCATGCACACCCATTTCGGCACACCCCTCACACGTTTCGTGGCCCCATAGGGAGCTCCACCGAAGGCCCCAGTGGCAGGGTCCGCATGCCTCCCCACCACCCATTTCGGCACACCCCTCACACGTTTCGTGGCCCCATAGGGAGCTCCACCGAAGGCCCCAGTGGCAGGGTCCGCATGCCTCCCCACCACCCATTTCGGCACACCCCTCACACGTTTCGTGGCCCCATAGGGAGCTCCACCGAAGGCCCCAGTGGCAGGGTCCGCATGGCCCCACCACCCATTTCGGCACACCCCTCACACTTTCGTGGCCCCATAGGGAGCTCCACCGAAGGCCCCAGTGGCAGGGTCCGCATGCCTCCCCA